GAGAGAGAGAGAGAGAGAGAGAGAGAGAGAGAGAGAGAGAGAGAGAGAGAGAGAGAGAGAGAGAGAGAGAGAGAGAGAGAGTCTTCAGAGACAAGAGGGGAAGGAACCGGAAGAAGAGAGATGCACATGCAATGGTTCTGGGAACGATGAGCACACGTCAAGCAGAGGATTCAAGAGCAGAAAGAGGTTTCCTAAAAATAAACAAACAAAACTGATAACAAGTTCATTGAGGAGTGCACCTTGCAGGAGAGTGATGAATTTTATGGCCAGAATGGCTCTGAGGGGGGATGTGGGGGGCGGGATTGTGAAAAGGGAGAACCACAGCTTTGTGATTCCGTTCCAGAGCAAGATTGCACCCATAGAGGAGAGCAGACAATGGAGAAGATCATCTTCCAGATCTACTGAAGGCTGTGGATTTTGTCAGGTTTGAGCGTCTTGTATCTTTTTCATTGGAGTCCATCTGGTTAAGTTGCAGTAGGTCCTGCCATCTCTTCTGAATATCCAGGGTGGGATCTATGGTTTTCAGACTGAGCTCATACCCAAATCATTTACTGCATATTCTGCTACGGAAGATGTTCCTTCTACAAGATTTCTGTTCCCAGGTCCATTCCCTCAGGTTGCTCCTGGTTCCGTGATAGTGGCACTGGGTAGGAGGTGAACCTTGCCAGAAACCCGCCAGATATGAATCATATGATCCTTTGATTTTATTAATTTCTTTACTTCAGAAAAGATAGCCACGACTGAAACTGCACAGCTGAGAACAGGGATGAGATGGAGACCCTGGCGAACGATGACAGCGGTCCCGTACAGCGTTCTGGCGGGATCAAGTTTACCGGCGGAACTGACGGCAATGTCGGTCGCTTACCTCGTTGCTACAGGGATGTTGGACGGGGACGGGGACTTAGATGCAAGAGCATACTCCACTGACTGGGACAGATTTTATAGAAGTGATGATTCAGACAACGAATCGCGGCACTGGCAATCGGATGATGAGAAGGAAGACAATGAGCGAACATTAGATCAGGGGGAAAACAGCAACGACAGCAACGATAGCGAGGGACCGTACAAGATGGATGAACCTGGAGTGACTTTGCCTACGAAGTCGGGACAGGACACAGCGATATCCGACCCTGGGGATGACGCAATGGGTCTGGATACGGGTGGACTCTCATCATCGAAGAGGTGCTGCTCATAAAACCATAGTCATGAACCGTCTGAGAGAGTCACGAAGATGGAAGAGTTCAGGAGAGTGGCAAATGCAAAGGTCAACCGGGGAGACTGGAAGCATCAAGGGATTGTCATTCGGTCTTGGAACATAAATGGGTTGGGTAATATCATAGACAAGGAAGACAAATGGAATGACTTAATCAAAGGTCTAACAGTATACAACAAGAAACTAGCAGACATTATACTACTTCAAGAAACCCATCTTACTCTCTCTCCAGAACACAAGATGATCAGAAATTTTGTAACAAGGAAACTGGGAGGTGTTAAGGAAGAAATCTGGGCGGACAACACCTCGAGCACGAAAGGCACAACCATTCTGATTCCCAATTCCTCTCGCTTTCATTTGGCAGGAAGCGTCCTGGACAAGAAAGCTGACCTTAATGATGGTAGGTGGTACTTCATGCACGTTAAGTTGAAAGACGCAAAATTCTTTCTATTCAACATTTATGCTCCAAATAACTCAGCAGAAAGATCATCCTTTGTGGCGAACTTGGGCAGCATGCTCCCACCATTATCATCGTGTATGGTGGCTGGCGACTGGAATGCCACTCTCGACCCCTCGACAAATCGTATATCCCGATCTTCCAACTCATACAACTCACAAGAGGCGTTACCAATCCAGAAATTGATGTTAGACCACACCTTGGTAGAACCATTCAGAACCATGCATCCCACCTCAAGAACCTTCTCACTAGTCAAGAAGAACCACGCTCATCACACGGCCTTCTCGCGTATTGATTACTTCCTGGTATCGAAGACAACGATGGTGACGGTTAAGAGTGCAGAAATCTTACAATTGGCACCATATCCAGGTCTAGACCATAAACCAATTGAATTAATAATCAGCTTTGAACAATGGGTGAGAAAAGAAGCCAACTTTCATAAATTAAATAACTCCCTCCTGCTAAGCCAAAGGAGCCAGCTTTCATAAATTAAATAACTCCCTCTTGCTAAGCCATAATTTCCAGGAAGGGGTACGTCATTGCTGGCACGAACGGAGAAACACCTGTTTACCCACTCATGATCGATGGGAATGGTTTCAAGAAAGTTACTCTACCCTTTCGAAGACAACGGCAAGAATTTCAAGAAAGCTAGCAACCATAAGAAAGCAAAGGAGGCAGAATCTGGAATATGCGTTAAAGATCGAAGAATCCAATCTGAGCGACAACCCATCATCCTTGTTATACGCTGAAATTTTCAAGAAAGCACGGGAAGAGCTGGCTATGTGGAGGTGGTGGGACCTAAAAGGCCTGCAAATAAGAGCCAAAATGAATGAATACGAACTTAGTGAATCAATGCCGAAACATTTCTTCGCCCGTATCAAAGCCAACTCGAGGGCGACCACTATAGAAAGACTGAAAACTCTTAGTGATCCGAGAGAGACAGTGGCTACCAGCGAGGGGATGCTGGGAATAGCAAAGGACTTCTACCAAGATTTGTACCAAACCAAAACCTAGTCACCTATCCCACCTGCCATAAAGGAAGCAAGACAAAGAATGCTGCAATATCTGGAACAGGCGATATCAATAGAGCAAGCGGAAGCTTTAGACAAGCCATTAACAATGGACGAACTCCTCCAAGCACTCAAGAGCATGAATAACGACAGATCGCCAGGGATTGATGGGTTAACAAAAACATTCTGGGAGAAATGTTGGCCACTCTTAGGGGGAGACTTAATGAACTTCTACAAGAACAGCTGGGACAAAGAGGGTCTTGGCAACCTCTTGAGTGGCAGTGTCGTCACACTGCTGTACAAAAAGGGAGACGAAGAGGACATTAGAAATTACAGACCAATTTCATTACTAACGCTCCCTTACAAGATCCTAGCCAAAACTCTCTCCGCCAGGATTACGAACTTAACAGACAAATGTTTCCACATTGACCAAACAGGCTTCATCCCTGGACGATACATATTGGATAATGTATTGACCCTAAATGAGGCAGCGAACAAAGTCAGAGAAAGGAGGATTAGCACAACTATACTCTTCTTTGACTTTGAGAAGGCGTACGACCAAGTTAATTGGTCTTTCATGGATGCGAGTATGGAACGAATGGGCGTGGGACCTAACTTTAGGAAGTGGGTCCGAATTCTGCACAATGATGCCACAGGCTGCGTATAGGTAAATGGGTTCCTATCAGAAAGCTACCCAATCTCCCGTTCGGTCCGGCAAGAAGACCCACTCGCCCCCTCGATCTTTTTATTCGTAATGGAAGCCATTGTGTCATTCCTACGAAAGGATCCCTCAATTCATAAGCTTCCAGAGGTCAATGCGGGGTCAGCTCACCACATGAATTTTCCGACTGCGATTATGTTTGCAGATGACCTTACGGTTCTGATCAGAGCCTCCAACTCCTCATTTAAAACCTTGGCTAAAGCAATGGAAGCCTTCAGATTGGCATCGGAAATGAGGATTAATTGGAAGAAGACGATTGGGTGGTGGCTTTTTGATGAGGATCTTCCTTATCTGCAAGGGCCCGAGGCCGCCATGATGTGGGATACGCCGAATACCCCTACCCGCTACCTGGGTATTCTTATAACTAGGGAGGGTCTGGCGCCCCAGATGGCCCAAAACATGCTAGCAAAGCAGATAAACAAGTTAGGGAGATCGGGGAATAAATTCGCCTCACTAATTGGTCGAGCTTTGGTACTCAACACATCGGTGTTTTCACATGATGTGCTATATAGCCTCGATATTGACAACATCGGGTAGCTCAATAAAGGAACTCAACTGCACAACAAGGATCGATCTATGGACAGGAAATCCCAGCAAAAAAGGGTGCATCCCCAAGATTGCATGGCAATACATCATTAGGAAGCCGGTGCAGGGGGGTCTAGGGATTATAGACCCTAAATATGAGACAAAAGCCCTCCAAGTTAAATGGATAGTCAAACTCTTGATGAAGCCAGAAAGCGCGTGGAACAAACTGGCATTAGACAACATTAGAGCTTTGGCTCCAGTAGCCTTGCCAGAAAATATGACGGGGCTGTTTTGGATAACAAGGAATGGAACCTGAAAACAGGCAGGAGAAGACCAATAACGGAATCTGATTGGACACAGCCAAACGCCCTACCCCATACTGGTCGGCCCTGGTTCGGATCTGAAGAGAAATATTACCAAAAAAGACCAATAGACCAAAATCCAAAGATGAGGTTTTAAGACGACCGCTGTTTGTCAATGATTGGGTGAAAGTCGAAAGTGATAATTCTCTGTATTTAGATCACAAATGGCTATCGTGGGCCAAAAAACGGGGTATGGACAGTAAGCCACCTATGGAACGAAGAAAGGAAAGAATGGGTGACCGAACAGGAGTTGAGCACACGTCTGAAGGGTTGCCACAAATGA